TGCCATATCAATGTTGGAGTGATAACTATTATTATAGGAGAACTCACACAACGGTAGGAACTTATCCCAAAGTCCTCCAAAATAAATCACACATGCCCTCAAGATGTCTTCTAACACTTGAATAGTCCTCTCTGACCGCCCATCCGTCTGTGGATTGAAAGTTGTGCTAAAAGTGAGTTTTGTGCTCAATTTGGATGTGTAACTTCCTCCTAAACTTGGATGTGAATTGCGTACCACGGTCTGAGAAGATAGAAAAGGGGCACCCCGTGCAACCTCACTATCTCATTCACATAAACCTTAGGCAAATGTTCAGCATTATAATCAATTCTGACCAGAATAAAATGGGTTGACTTAGAATATATGTCTACCACTACCCAAATAGAATCAAACTTCCCCAAAGTCTTGGGAAGACCAACCACGAAATCCATAGCAATCCTTTCCCACTTACATTCCAGAATTGGCATTCTTTGAAGCAAACCTGCAGGCCTGTTATGTTCATACTTTACTTGTTGGCAATTTTGACGCTTAGTCAAAAACTCCACTATGTCTTTCTTCATGCCAGGCCACCAATAAATTCATTGCAAATCTCGGTACATCTTGGTCACACCCGGATGAATGGAATATTGCGAGCCATAGGATTCTGTCAACAATTTTTGAATCAAGTCATTGACTCGAGGAACACAAATTCTTCCTTTGAAACTGAGCACACCTTCCGTATCAAGAGTGGTGTCTTTTGCCTTACCAATCACAGTCTTTTATTTAAGCTCATTCAAATTTTCATCCTCAAACTATTTGGCCTTGATCTCCTCAATGAACGTGGCCCTAACCTTAATGCAAGCTAACACCCCACCCCTTTTTGAGATGCCCAACTATATGAATTTAGACTCTAAGGTCAGGATTTCCTTAGCCAAAGGTCGCTTAGTTACACTCAAGCAAGCTAAACTACCCATACTCACCGTTTTTCGACTCAAAGTGTCAGCCACTACATTAGCCTTGCCCGGATGGTATTGAATGGTGACATAATAATCCTTAAGTAACTCCATCCACCTCATGTGTCTCAAATTCAAATCCTTTTGAGTGAATACATGTTGTACACTGTGATGATCAGTAAATACCTCACACTTGACACCATAAAGATAATGCCGCCAGATCTTAAGAGCAAACACTACCACTGCCAACTCCAAATCATGTGTTGGATAATTCCTCTCATGCACTTTCAACTGTCGTAATATATAAGCTATAACATTCTTATCCTGCATTAACACAACACCCAAACCCGAATGTGAAGCATCACAATAAGCTATAAAATCCTTACCTTCAAAGGGTAGTGCTAGAATAGGTGCGGTGGTTAAAAGAGTGTGTGGTAAAATCCTTACCTTTTTGGTCAAATTTGTCAAGTGTGTGGCAATAGAAGCAAAAAATTTTCACAAATCGACGATAGTAGCTAGCGAGCCCCATAAAACTCCTAACTTCTATCAAAGAACTAGGACGAACCCAATTCTTAACCGCCTCAATCTTTTGGGGATCTACCATTGCCCCTTCTTTTGATACCACATGCCCCAAAAAGGCAACCGAAGTCAACCAAAATTTACACTTAGAAAATTTTGCATACAACTTTTGTTTCCCAAGAACACCCATAACAAAACGAAGATGGTCAACATGTTCTACCTCACTTTTCAAATAAACCAAGATATAATCAATAAAGACTATGACAAACGATTCATAAAATGGTTTGAATAGACTATTCATCAAACTCATGAAAGCTGCAGGCGCATTTGTCAACCCAAACGAGATAACTAGAAACTCATAGTGCCCATAGCGGGTTCTAAACGTCGTCTTGGGCACATCCTCAGGCCTAATCTTTAACTGATGGTAACCAGACCTTAGAGAAAACTGATGCGTCTTGCAATTGGTCAAAAAGATCATCTATCCTAGGCAATGGGTACTTGTTTCGAATGGTGATCCTATTTAATTGCCGGTAATATATACACATCCTCATACTACCATCATTTTTCTTAACAAACAATACAGGAGAACCCTATGGGGAAGCACTAGGATGAATGAATCGTTTATCAAGAAGTTCTTGGATTTGAGCCTTAAGGTCTCTTAATTCGGTCGGAGCCATGCGATATGGAGGGATAGAAATGGGGCGGGTACCAGGTTCCAAATCAATGCAGAAATCTATATCTCTATCCAGAGACATACCAGACAAATCAGTAGGAAACACTTCTCTAAATTCTGACATCACATGAATGGACTCAATAGATGTCGACTCAACCTCAACATCCGGAATATGAGCCAAATAAGCCAAACAACCCTTCCCTACCAGTTTCCTAACCCAAATGGAGGATATGATCTTAGCTTGCTTAGACTTGTACACCCTTTCCCACTATAACTTTTCCCTTCCCGAAATTTCTAGAGTCACAAACTTAGTATTACAATTAACCACAACATAATTGGAAGACAACCAAGTCATCCCTAAGATTGAATTAAAGTCAGTAATATCCAAAATCACCAAATCAACCCAAGTCTGGAAACCCATATAAGAAATAGGACAATCACGATAGACATGGGTGACTATGGCTGACTCTTCAAATAGGGCAGAAACATGGATGGGGGCATAAGTATATCACAAATCATAGCATATTCTGAGGCAAATCAGAAGGACACATAAGAATAAGTAGAACCCAAATCAAATAACACATTACCATTCGGTCACATTTAAGAATAGTACATGTTATAATTACCTCAGACGCCTCTGCCTCGATCTTGCCTGGAAAGGCATAACATTGAGTCCTATCATTTTGATGGGCGGCTTCTTTGCCTGGCTGCACTGCACCTCTGCTTTCGTTACCATTTCCCCTACCTCCGCGGCCTCGCTGATTCCCTTCTTACCCACCTTGTGGATGCCCTCGACCATTTAGTACCATTTCCCGCGAGTACCACTCTTTAGACTATTCTTACGTGAAATTTGGCATGCGCGGGTGGGGACAATCTCTGCTCATATGCCCAGGTTCTCCATAGTTGTAACAAATACGGTCAAAAGATTGCATGCTGATGTGAGGCTAAAAATACATATTTTTAATCATTATTTCCTCACATTTATTATTTATATTTGTACTTTGTGAGCATGAATTTTATGGATTGTACTAAATTGCATATTTTATGTGTAGGATTAAATTGGTGAAAAAAATGAAGAAGTTTGGAGCTAAAATGAATTAAAGATGGAAAGTTGAAAAAGGAAATCAAGCAGGCAGCTTAATGGATTAAAGTGAATAAAATAATATATTTTTTATATATGGAAAAAGGCGGCTGCAATTGAGGAAATTCAAATTTGCTGCTTGCTGCTACCACGTGGTAGTAAGTGAATGGTACAAAAATATATTGAGGCGGCAACACTGTTCACGCGGCG